ATAGACTCTAATCTGTAAGAATATCTTTAAAAGATGATTCACACCATGAACGACTACTGCTGCAAAACGACACAAGCATTCGTCTATGTACTCGTCTAACGACCATATGTTACTGAACCCCGTTGACAGATATCACGGAAAAAACATGCTAATTTACAGTTTATACATCACAGCATAATACATCATAGCAGATAACGCTAGATATTCACCCCGCGGCGTGATTTCCAAAACTTTAAAAACATTTCTTATTATTATATATCAAAATTACGCGTTTAATTATTACAATAATTACTTTCCCAATATATATATATATTTTTTATAAAATCTGGATTATAATTAGAGCATATTATTATATTATTATAAATGATTCTTTTATATATAATTTTTTTATTGTACTTGCATTTTAAAAGTATTTGAAGTTAATGTCGATATTTCTATTCGATATCATGAACACTTTAAAATATTGTTATCGATATTATTACTACATTTTTAGCGGCAAAAGGAAACTCTCAATTCTCTGCAGAAATTTCTTTCAACTGGTGACTGTTTGCGAAAGATAAAAACACCGATCATCATCGAGATTAACGAATAAGAAAAAAAACGTAATTACCCGAAAATATTCATAAGGTCGTTAATGTAGCGAGTGGCCATAAAGAAGCCATAAAATGCCGCGGAGGAAACAGGCCAAATGCATACATGCATAAATCCTACTTCGGATTGTAGCGAATTCCGGTCCTGAACGTAATATTTTTCTTGGGCGTCGACAATTTCACGTAGCGTAACTAAATTAAACGTAAAAAAACGTAATTTTCTGTGTTAGTGATCCAACAGAGCAAATAAGACCGAAAATAAATTATTGTGGTCGTGTAAACCGGTTTAAGATCTCTTTCAGGTTCTACTGCGCGCGAGGCGCGTATCATAATACACTTCCACAAAATTCTCTTATTACATTAAGAATACAATGTATTAAATGTGTTTCATTATGACAATACTTTCTCACTCGCGACTGCAAGAATCAGCCCGCTTCACCTAATTGTATCAGTCGCACTAATTAAAGCACGTGTGATTTTCCACGCTCGTCGAGATGAAAAAAACGCCAAATGTAAAAAGCCGGTAGCGCAATCATGTCTACAAATCGCGCAACGTGTTTCATAACGATGAATCTGTTCAACATGTAATATTTTCTGTATTTTATAATCTTTCTCCCTCTCTTTCTCTCTCTCTCTCTCTTTTTCTTTCTCTCTCTTCCCCTCCCTTTTTTTATTAAATAAGGTAATTCGTGTTCAAATTTTATTAATTTAGTTTGTAATTATCTCATATTTTAAATTTTAGATGAAATAAGTATGCGTATATATACATATTTATATACGCACTCAATTATATGCATTAATCAGGCCATTCGCGCTAGAATATCATGTGAATTTGCCAGTTCCGAGATGACGCTGTAGCGTGTTATTCGTAAATCATGCGATTTATTTTGCAATAAGGAGCCCATTACGAGATCGTGGCTGAATCATATAGATATTTAACAACTCACATTCGTTTATTCATTTCATTTTCTCTGTTTCCGTTTGTATAGTGAATTATTTTACCGTGCGAAAACATTATTAGACTGAATTGCTATACAAAACCGGATATCAATCCTTTATGGTGCTCATTAACTGGCTAATTAGCCGTGAGACGTGCGTCAATGAAAAGCCTGCTTCGAGCGATGAACAAACCGGAGATTGCTCTAAATGCATTTGTTTATCATCGTAAAACTATAAAATTATATTTTATATCTTTCCTTTACAACATCCTTGCTTGATAAAAAGAGAAATATTTTCTGTCTTAAATGTAAAGGCAAACCACAATTGTACTTTTAAAACTATTATATGTATAAATATTTTAATAAAAATAGAATATATAATTATATAAAGATAAGAGAAAAAGAGAGAGAGAATGCGCGTGTAAAATAATTTTCTTCCCAGCATTTCATTAAAAAATATGTTAATATAAAAAGTATTCTCGACCTTCTTTGTCAATAATGCTTTCAATTAATTTAAAAATATAGTTAAAATTCAAATAAAAATACATATATTTAAAATACATACAATTTTGGAAAAGTCTATAGGTAACAAAAATTTTAAGATATTTTGACTTTGTCATTTCATTTTTTTACGTGGTTTTTTTTGAAGAAACAGTATAATGAGGCACGGAAAATTTATTTATTTTTTCTTTTCGTGCTACACGACGCACGAAGGATCGCGACAAAAAAGTGGAAATCTCACGTGGAGTAAACAAGTACTGGGTCAAACGGTAATAAATCGAGATGCCGGGACTTGGGAATCCGCGAATGGCAGTACCGGAAAGATGCGTTGCGCGGTCGGTCGTCTCGGTACGCGTTCCAAGAAACCGCAAAAGGGTTGCCTAGCGCCGTAGAAATGCGCCGCTACAAGCTACACGGCATCGAAGATCTGGGTATCTGCCAGCATTGAAGTCAAGGTTGCCATATTTGTTGCGACAAGAGAGCAAACCTTTTGCGGACCTCGTTTTCTTCCTTTTCCTTCTTTCTTTTTTCTCTTTCTCTGACGTGAGACGCGGGAAGAGCGATTGCCTTTCTAACGCCGCACGATCGCAACTGCCGCTTCTTAGTTCCGCCTTCGAAGCGATCGGTATTATTCATATTTAAAAAAAATAATCAACCCCGCATCGCCAATGCACGCAGAAATTAAGTGAGATACGTTTAATGCTTCGCGATTAAATCCTTCCTTGAGAAAGTCAAGAATTTTAGTGGAGACTAAAGTGAGACGTCAATAAGACGAGTGGACTGAGCTCGTTTAACGAATTTCCATTTGTGAGGAAGTACGGGAAATTTTTCTTTTCGGCATTCCGCTTGCTGGAGTTTAGAAAGCGCAATTCACGGCACGAATCGCGGCAGCGACGCATAATTGACAATTTTCACGTCGCTGACGCGACATTACTTTGTAATTACGTTGTACGCTGAAGTGCATCGGGATTTATTTCCTAGGTTTTCCTTTCGCAACAAGATTCTACTCACGTAAAACTGCACTTAAGCGTTTTATGTGATAAAAACAACGGAGCGTAAAATAAAATAAGTACGCGGTAGATTAGGTATAAAAACGTATAATGACTAATAATTGCTTGATGATAACGGAATTCAGTGACGTTGGAAATTAAAGGACATTTGAGGGATACCGCGAGATCTTGAAAGAATTCAAGTAAATAATAGGCAATCTCTTATTTTTGTTACAATTCTAGATTTCCAATATTTACAATCGAATTCTCGTTTAACTGCACCGAACACAATGAAGCGTACAATAAAGTGCGTTTAAACGCACGAGAGAGATTAGGTGTAAAAGGATGTAACGACCAATAATTGCGCAATAAAAACGGAATCAAGTGGCGTTGAAATTAAAGGAAAAGAAAAAAGTTTCCAGAGAATTCAGATAAACAACGGACAATCTTATAGTTTCCAATGTATTATAATTGAATTCTCGTTTGGCCGAATGAGCACAACGCACAACGTATAATAAAGCAGGTTTAAACGCGCGAGAAATTAGGTGCAAAAAGATACAAAAGACTAATAATCGCGCGGTAACAATGGAGTCAAGTGGCGTTAGAAATTGAAGGGAAAGAGCGAAGTTTCGAAAGAAACTCGGGTAAATAACAGACGGGCAAACTTAGTATTTACAATTTTGATTTTCCAATTTATTACAATCTAATCCCCCTTAACTGAAATGAGACAGGTTTTTACTTTTTGTCGACTCAATACAGAATTACGAGTCTTTAAGAAATAATCGATTTACTTTCTTTGTCGACTCGATGTATAGGGTAACTCTTTCTAAGAAATAATCGATTCTCGGAGGATGTGCACACCGAGAAGTATTAGGATTACATGTCCTGTTGCACATTAATATCGCCGAGTCTACGTATATGAGTCGCACCTGTCTCGTTAAATTCGCGCTCATGTTCCAATCTATAGTGGCGCAATAGTTTAACGATCGCGCAACTCTCGGCGGTGAGTTCGCAAGAGCGCGACGCGCGCGCATCGTAACGTGCCGCGCAGCGCAGCGCGGTTTCAAGCAACAAGCACACTCGAGCGCGAGTGCGCGTGTGTTGCGCGATATCGCATTATCTTTATTTCCGCGTGACATAATTCGGCGGCATTAAACGCTCGTCAGCGGCGACGCGGCACACAATCGCGGGTTTAAAATCGCGGACGCGGTGCAGTGATTCGCGCGGCCGAATATACAATACAAGCGCACGCCCGCGGCGTCGGGCGAGACGCGAGAAACATCCGTCGCGAAATGCACTTGCATTCATGAGTGCGGGATTAACAGCTCCCCGTCTGTTATCCGGTAACTAACCCCGCTAATTAAATGGCAGCGCGAGCCGCATTTTCTTTTATTGTACGGACTCCTATTACGGACGGAGGATACGAGTAACAGTATGGTATAGGAGCTTCTCTCAGGCGCGATAAAACGCACTTGAGAAATGTCACTGTTGCGAAACCTTCTATAAGTCGCGTATATAAATTCAAGATAATATAATTATCTCTCTTGCAGTTAACTCTGTTAAGGTAAATCGTTATTTCGAGTGTTATAAAAACGTTAATTATGAAAATATCAACTTTGTTTCAGATTATTTTTAAATTATTTGATAACGTATTACATTAATATTATCAAATAAATAACGAAAAAGAAGGGAAAATCAGCGAATAATATATATATATATATCCATATATAACATCCAGTTCTCTCTAATCAATTAATCCAATAAAAATGCGTTACAAAGAAGAATATTAAAAAAAACTTAGATTAACGTTTCTTCGATCTCTCAATTGTTTCGAAAAAGTTAATCTGCGTCATTCTGCAGACTATATGACTGATTTAATTATTAATTACTGCCAATTATAACAACTTACTACCAGTTAATTACGAAACTATCAATTAATTGTAATAGACAGGCGCTTTTTTTATTTTTTTTACTTTACCTACCTGGAGATAAGAGCTGGCTGCCGACAGAACAAGACGATGCGCGAGGAATCGCTGACCTCCCGGACAGCACAGGGCCACATCGGCGAACCTCTGCGACAGCATGGCCTCCTTCAGGATGTCACCGACGTCCGGCGCCCTCCCAGAAACGCGGATCACCTCTCCCATCATGCTCCACTTGCTCGCGTGATCAATGATCGTTCGGGACACACACGCGGAAATATACGCACTCCCCTGGTCGAAAGTACCCGGCTACCTCATCTGCATGCGACTTTGCGGCACTTGGGAAGGAAATATCTTTGCAAAACTTCGAAAGTTCTTAACGACTGCTCTTCAGTCGAATTGTCGTTGTCCATTCCACCGTGCGCCACGTCAGCTTTCACGTAAAACCATCCTCCGGGGAAATTCGCGCGGAGATCTTGAGATCTTCGAATATACTCTTTTTCTCTTCACTCACGCACGTAAAATTCGAGCACGGAAAATCCTTTATCCCGTTCTCGAGCAAGCTCAGTGTCGTCTACGTTGCAGTTTGCGTCGCGCGCATTCGTAATGCGATGACATTAATAATTATACAATCTCTCTTGCAACGGAATATATTTCGCTCGTTTTGAGAATACCTTACGATTATTACGCACGCGAACTTTTGTTGACGGGCGATCAATCGATTCGCATTTACAGGTGACATTTGTTGACTCTGTTGTCTGACACTGACTTATAGCCATATAATTATTGGCATTTTTCAGCGATAACGGTGTTGGTATCCGCTGTCACATCGTCATTGTAAGATTTATGACGGGCCGCATTCTTTTTGCTCGCTTTTTTTAGTCTCGCTTTTTAATTCACCGTTAAAATTAACTCGACAATCAGCAGATCGGGCCAATATAGCCTCAGTGAATCCCGCCTAATCTCATTCCGCCCATTAATTAATCTTCTTTCTGGTCGCCGACCTCTATCGAGTCGCCGGATGTCGCCGAAAATCGGACTGAGTCTAGAATCGGACTCGCAGAAATTCGAATTTCGCAGACCTTTAAAGCTGGCGATCCTTCTTTTTTACATGAACAAAAATTTCATTGTATTCTAACGAAAACTGCGAACAAATTTTTTTAAATGTCAATTAAATGAATATTTAACACTTGGATTGATTTACATCTTTTTTTTTGTTATGTTTTTTGTACACATTCGAAAATTGATATAAGGCACGAGCTACGTAGATATCTTAAAAATCATTTGTTCCTTCGTCAGAGAAAGCTCGGAAAAATCCAGCGCGCGGAATCCACCGAGCGTCTCTACTTTCGTTAAATAAATTACACCGCCGTCTCGTACGGCATTGTTCGCGTTTCACAAAGTTCCCGGTCAACGCATGTCCATCCCTATCCTACATTGATACATCTTTAATAAGGCGCTTTCATTGACCAACATGCGCGCACGCGGGCACTTTTCTTCCTCGTGCTGCTCCGTCGTCCACGGCGGCAGCAGTCCCATAAACTCCTTGACTTGAGATTTCCTTCCCGCGATCGGTTTCTTTAACCGTGCGCTTTTTGCCGCTTCGGCGTTGCTCGTTATTACGCGATACCCCTGATAATTCCGTCAGAATGCAGTTGGACGAGTCGATTTCACGACAAATTTATACGCCGCCCGGGGAATGCTTTGCACACGTCGCCATCGAATCCACCGTGTCGAGATCATCCCGTTTAACGAGCGCCGACCTTTTCTCCTAGATTATTTGCTCCTCGATCACAATTAGTAGATCTCGAAGTCACCCGAGGGCGTGCACTTTTTTTCCACGCTGCGGATCCGCCTTCGAATCCTCAATCGACGCGTATGAGTTATCACAACCGGCGAAAGAATACCTGCTTGGTTACTTCGTCATATTGATGCGTCACATTGTCCTTCGTAAAATGTCATCACAAAAGTTTTGATTCTGCGATATTTTTAAATCCGGAAGTTCAATAAACATTGAAAATCTTTCCGACTTATTAAATCAATTAAACGATTTCACCGAAAGTGTCGATTTGCCTCGAAAATACGTAATTATATCAAATCAACCAGCTATACTTCATCGATAATCCGCTCCTCTAGTCAAACCAGTCTGACTTAATAATTAGTGTCCCTGATTAAATCAGTTCAATTCACAACGATCTCGTTAATCGAACTTTATTAGGCTAAAATCCTACTGCATTACTCTCGTCTGACTAATTAGATCTAAGTGTCAAACTCGTATAGCTCGTACTCAAGATTGCATTTACAAAAACAAATACGATGGATGCCCCATCGATCTACGAAGGAGAATTTGGGAGATCGTCAGCGAATTGATCCGCGATTCTCGGGGCCGCATCGCGAGTACTCGCGGATTTGCTCGACATATCTCAATCGGTCCCGTATTCGCGGAGATCTCAAAATTTCCGGAGTCGTCGTCGTTGTCGTCGTTGTCGTGTGCTCTCTGTGGCGAATCGCGCTCGCTCGCGGCGCTCACGCGAGGAGAACCCGTCGCTGAACGACTCAGCAGGGCGACTGCCACCTGAAACGCTCAGGTGAGCAGAGACCACCTCTGCCACCGCGAGAGTGGTCTCTTCGACGAGACGGAGAGAGCACTCGCAGGGAACTCCTCCCATGTCTCGCTGCTCTATCCCCTCCCGCCCTCGAGCGGAGTGCACCTGCGTGCACTCGTCTCCCGTATGCATGCACATCTCTTGTGCTCTGTGCTCCGTCAGTTATACACACACAATTAATTTCCAATCACGTAAAATGAGAGAAACGACAGTAGTATAGCCGACGTGACTGTAAACTTTTTAACTTTCCAAAATACAATATCACTTTTTGATTTTGATCACATCCGCGGCTTTCGATAACGGAGGTACGAATAGCGGAGATAAGAGTAATGCAATCGATCATGAGCGGTGAAAAAAATAAAAAATCGTAAAGAGATAATGACGCGAAATTGTCTTCCGAGGCGAACTTAGGCTTAAGTTAATAATCAGAAAATGCATTGGAGATGAATCAGAAATCCTGTCTGGGAATGTAGATTGTGTAGACAATTAGGATTCACTTCAGCCCGTTTGGCCTCATACCGGTCGCCGTTTTTCTTGGAACTGTAGACAAATGAAATGCAGAGATCTCAGTTTGCTTGACGTTGAAATAAATTGTGACGTAAAATACGGAAATATATCTGTAATATACCTGGCATTCTAATTCCTATATACAGGACGATTCATATATGTATATTTCGTCAATTCGCAGTGTTAGGAACAAAAGTACGCGAAAATCATTATGCGATTATAATCATTTCTTCAATCCTTTTAATCAAGACATTCGATTTATTTTTATTTTCGAATTTCAAATTGATATGAAATTGGCGCTTTTTAATGTGAAAATAAATTTCCGCAATCAAGAATATCTGTCTTCTTACCCTTTTTGTAGAAATGACAGAAGAAATTGGAGACAGAAGAGAGAAAACATTGTACAGTAATTCTTCGATGAGAAATTAAATTCTGTATTGCGAAAACACGTTTGTCTCAGGCGTTTGAAACAACGTGTACACGTTATAGTCCTATCACCTGTAGAAAGGTGAGCGCACAGATAGAACTGCGAGTATCAAAATCAATGCGCGAGAGAACGCGCGCGGCTGCTTCGCGCGGGAATTCCTGCGCTAATGTCAGCTGTCAGTGAGTTAAGCGGATAATCGTTAGCGCGTTATGTTTATAATCGTCGAGTATAGCAACATCACGTATGGCAGTAAGAGAACATCGAAATCGAAAGAACGAACGGGATTTTCTGTAATATTGCTCACCGACAGCCCGTTTATTAGGCATAAGTGACTAATGTGTAAGAAATAAAATACGCATTTTTTCTCTCAATCGCAAATATATACGTATATATTTTTAGCATTTATAAAAATTTGAAATAATCTAAATGAATCTAAAAGAATTTCATGTTCCGAATGAATTATAGATTTTATAATAATTTATAAATCTGTAAATCTCAGAAAAAATGAAAAAGAATGTTTAAAAATCCTACTGATTGAAGTCCTTCAAAGTGACAGATTAAAAAAATCTAGAGTTTTTGTGCAACCAAGATATTTAACTCCAAAAAAATCAATAGTTAAAAAATTAAATGTCTATGCAACTAAAAATCGAAGTATGTAAAAATTTAATCGTGTGAATAAGCAATATATAAGTTTAAGAATCCTTGAATGAGAGGATTTAGGAATTAGGAAATATAAATATCATGTTTAAACATTTGCAAAAATATAAAGAGATTTGGGAACCAAAATTAAGTTGATCGAAGAATTTATAGAATTACAAAAAAAATTATTTTAATGTAAAATTTCAATTTTACATATTTTTTTTATTAGGACTTTCATGCTAAAAAAATTCTTGATAACATTGCACGCTGAGTCACGTAAGTAGCAGGATCCTTGTAACTGGCAATGGAGCTGAGAGCTAATCATTACACACCTTTTATTCGCTTACCGGAACCTGGCAATCACGTTTCATAGTATGCCTCTAAGAGAGAACACGCGCAGTATATATAATTAATCTCCTATTAATGGATCAAAACTGTTCGATAAATTTAAATTAAACTTACTAATTTATCACTATTTAAGCTCAAAGATCTTAATCAGGGAAACGCAACCGATCCTACGTTTTTATGTAAGCCGATATACGTGTTACTTGAAAGAAAAAGAAATTCTAAAATCATATCCATAACTTATTGAGATAATTATTTAATTCTATATTCGTCAAATTGCGTGACACGAGAAATCTAAAGGTTTATTGGCTTTTATTTTTAAATTTAATTCTTCTAATTTTTATTTTAAATTACTGATTTTATTCTAGTCAGTTACTCAATTTTTATTTATTGCTCAGAATTTTTCGACATTTGGCGAAAGTCAAATAATCCATCGAAGGAATTAAAATTAATAGTTTCTATTAAAGAGTTAACAAGTGAGATTATCTATTTACATTTTATACGTTATATTTGCGAAAGTTTAGCACGCACACACACACACACACACAGCGCTACTTTATCACGTAAAAATGATTTTGCGACAGGGAAATTCTCTGCAAGAGATCGCGATAGTGGCGCATACTTGGATTCTTATCTGCCTAGAGAGAATGTAAATCGGTACCGAATTAGGGAGTGTCTAAGATAGAAATGACATATCGTTGGATATCATTAGCTCGGTTTTCCTTGATTCTAAAATTACGATGCGCGCACACGCGCGCGCTTAGTGATAACGGCCTTTCGTGTGTGTGTGTGTATGTGTGTGTGTGTGTGTGTGTGTGTATATATATGTGTGTATGTGTGTGTGTGTGTGTGATTGCATACTTCAGTTCGTGTACGATACACTGTAGGTAATCATAAACACACACATGTCGAATTTTAATATCTTTTCTTTGATGATTGCGAGATATTTTTTTTTACACCGGCAATTACACGCCTCGTTGCCCGGAACGGATATCATCCTTTATCTTTATCTTTAAAGTTTTATCTGATTGACGAATTCCAACAAGATTCTGATGAAATTTTGTTAAAATATACTTGATGCATTAAATCGTCAACGTAATCATTGGTAGTTATCAATAAAAATAATATCAATTATATAATTCGAGGAAAATACATCGCATATATATATCATCCGATGACACTACTGCAATAATAATATTCAAAAAGATAGCAATATATAACTGAAATATCAGTAATAATTTTCGAGTAAATATCGTTTTTGATGGAACAGTAATGAAGAATAACTGTCAAGCTGTTGAAAAATACTAAAATAAGTGATGGCTTGTACTGGCGTTTTTATCTTCGAATTTCACACTTAAAAATCAAATCGATCCTACCGTAATGCTTCCAAGATAAGTAGTTTAGTCATAAATTATTAATTGGCTTCGTGGCCCACCTCAAAAATACCGGTCCTCAAACTGTAATAAACATTAACGAAAGAGAGTTCGTTTGACATGGTGTCCGTCATTGCTGGTTCCGTTACGGTGTTATTATAGATGTGAGAACGGCGCCACTTCCGGCCGTATTATCTTAAGACCGAGCGAAGGAAATCGATCTCTCCCTCCGTTCAAATTGATGAACCCGACCTATGAACACGTGTGACGGATGATGATGGACAACAAGCTGAAACTGCTGCCGCTTCTCGAAGTCATCCTAACAGCGATATATTATAACGGCACAAGTGTGAAGGTTGAAACGAGTTCCTTGAAAGTACCGAACGTCGAACTGGTAATGCCGTTTATTTAATCCACGAAACGCGGGCTTTAAAAAATTACACAGAAAAAATCAAAACATTTCATCGAGCGTTTATGAATAGCATGTATGATCTTCATAACATTTATATCTTATTAGAATCTTTATAATTTGAACAGAAATTAAAAACGCAATATCTGACTAATTTAATATTCAATGATATGTAATAAAGTGACTAATTTAATATTCAATGATATGTAATAAAGTGACATTAAATAAATAAAATAAATTGCAATTTGCAAAACTGTAAATAAAAAGTTATAATAAAATTTCAAAAATGTCTTTAGGTTTTTATTTTAACCTTTTCAGCGTTTAATGAATCATAGAGGATGACAGATGGAAAATAGTTGAAACGAAATAGTTAATACATAAATAAAGAAAATTATATAAATTAAACACTATTCTATCAAAGAAACCTATCATTTTTACTAACACACAATGTAAAAAAAAGGCAAGAAATCATAAAGTGGAAATATTATCATAAATTAAATTGATTGTCAATTCGATAATGATACTGTAAAGAAACTTATTGCGAAAAATCCTGGCTGAAGCAATATTTTTCGCAATACAGTTTATAGTTATTTAAGATACTTGTAGCATGCCATCGAATTGACGATTAATTTAATTTGTGGTAATATTTTATTTTATGATTGCATTCTTAAAGACCGACAGTAATCAGCGCGCAATTTACGATAACTGAAATTTAAAAATTTAAAACTCAAGAATATTATTGGGTAACAATCAACATCTAGCCTCGGCTGAATTTGGCTCTTTCCCCTTTATTATTGTATAATTAATTATTTTCTTGACAAATTTTTATATCAAATTTTTTTCATATTATATCATGTCAACTTTTTGAATAAAAATTCATTGTTCCGATAATTCATAGCAATTTTAACAGATAATAATAAATTAAGAAGATCAAACTCGTGAAAAATTTTTTTTCCTGATATCCTTAAATCCGGTTCAAAAAATGATATTTGTAAATTTGCAACCAAATGCAACTGGATCACCTGAATTTCGCTCGGTGGCAAAAATGCGGATGAAATACTGATCCAGAGTGAAAGCGATATCAAGATGCGTTACGCCTTATCAGGGTCGCGATAATTACACGAATTAACGGTTTGTCGAAAGGTTCGGTGTTCGTTGAACGAAAAGACACTATCTTTCTAGAGGAACGAGTCTATACAGCTAAAAAATTTGAAACAGAAATTGGTTGTAACTTCTCAGCTATCTATTAATTTATTTCGATAATTGAATTAATATTTCAAGAAGATAACAGGAAAAACTTTCATTTGGCAGATATTTCTCCCGTTCCAGATTCCTCTTTCTGAGATAATTCCGGGAGAAACATGCCAATTGGATACTTAATTTAAAAGAATAACATAATATTCAGTTATAATATAGGTATACAATTTCATATTTTTCTTTTAAATTATATTTTTTATAAATCATAAACATCAGATTTTTATACATATCTGACGTTTTATTCTTTCTTCTCAATTCGTTAGATTTTTAGATTTAAATCTGTCCATCCCATAATTTCCCTACTCTCTGAAGGTGAATTTTCCCATTGAACACATTCTGCAGAAAGGGACGTGATCGAACATATTATAGACATATACCTATGTAGTATTACTTGCTACACCGTAATTACATCTGCTGAGAAAGATTCTCAGGAAATGCATAACGGTGGAAATTCCATGATAAATCTACGATGTACGAAATAACGGGGATTACAGATGATCGCGAGAATCCGACCCGAATTCGAAATACGATCCGTCCGCATTCGATCGAGTTCGCGCTCGCGGCAGAAAAAAACGCGCGGCGGCGGCGGCCTCGCCGCGTTGTTTGCTCGCATGCGAATAAAAATCTCATCGATCATCGCCGGTGAAACACCGGCCGCGGCACGGCAAACAGACATTTGCACAACACGCGCGTGCCGGCCGCGTGTAGAGCAACGCTCGTTCGTTCGGAACGGGGCACGTGGTCCCGCCATCGCTAAATCCATTAGCACGCTGCAGAGAGAACGTTTTCCAGGTTGGTTATCGGGCAAATATTGTTCCGCGCGCTCGGTTACCGTTTTACCCACACGCCGACCCCGCTTGCTGACACTGTTTCGTACTACGTCACACGCTACCATGTCGGTCTATCAGGGGTTCCCAAAGGAACATCCCACAAGGAACAGCTTAATCCTTCGTAAGCACGTCTTCTGTATAGGTAAGACAATTGAAATATTACTTTTCGATACTTTTTTCCGCTTCTTTATGTCTGACAGCTCTCTAAATCTGAATATAATTATTTTAAGAAAAGATATTATATATTTATTATTTATATATAAAATTATAGTATATTAAAATTTTAACTTTAACATTAATTAGAAACGGCAAAGTGAACTTTGATTCATTAATCCAAGAAGTAAAATTTAGTTTAAAATTGATATTAGGTTTTAATGACATTCCGTTGATAAGATAACGTAAGTCTCCTCTTACGAAGAGAATTCTGCGCGAAAATATCAGTTCTTTAAATACGACACGCTTCAGAAATAGAAATGGAGATACGCTTGGCGCGAAGCACGTGCCATTCTTATCTGTCCTTGTAATATTCACTTCACTGGTTTATTATATTATACTCTCACTTTGTGCAGTTTGGGAGCTGCTGCTTTAAATGCAACCGGACGACACGACGCAATTTCAAACGCTCGTCGTTTAGCGCTTCTCTCTTTGCACGAGGCTGTAACTTAAAAATCCGGCCTCTCGCAGCCGCACAGCTGTGAGTGAGATATCGAGTTCCTCTCGGCCGAGATCTCGGGCGTTTTCTCGTTGCGCGCATACCCAGACAGATATACGATTTCTTCAGATAGGATTGTTCTCACCTTTCCAACCATTTCTCTAATTTGTTCGCGCGCACCTTCGAAAAAATATCCGACCGCGAAGAGATTAAGCTGTACACGTACCGACGAATCTTTTGCTAGGTAAAATATTCGCGCGTTCACCATTCACATTCTTCTACAGATACCATGTGAAATTGTGATTTTGTTGTATAAATAAATAATTATTTCACGAAATTTACATTCTCTCTCAAAAACAACATCGAGGAATCGAATAAATAATACTGATTTACAATATGTTTCTATTTCTCAACACTTGAATCGTGATTCTTATGTATATTTAGCTGCTGAAAAAGAATATAAAATTTAAAAAGTTTGCCTACAGATTTTGAAAAGTCAAGGATTCTATTTTTGAAAAAAAAAACTACAAATTTAAACAATTTACGACTTCTCTTTTATTTTATGCAGGATAAAGTCTCAGCTAATGACTTTCTCTTGTACGTAGCACCCTTGGCTTCTCTTTTCAGTGTCCAACAGCATGTTGAATCAACACGCATGTTAAGACTCCACTTTCCTTGATAACGTGCCTCCATCGTAGTGATGTTTTTGATGAAATCATTCGCCATGCTTGTCTCTCACATTAAGCCAAGGTTTGGAGCGAAGAAATCCAAATGAAATAATAAAAATGTATTTTTAACGATATTTAAACATACCTCAGAAGTTTATAGTTTTCTAAAAGTTTATAAATTAACTGTTTGTTGACATTAAATGTTGCCAATAAATTTTATTTTCATTACTTTAAATTGTACATAAATAATAAAAGAGATTTCATATCATCACATTTATTTTCATGTATTGTAAAAAGATATATAATATATTTAATTTTCTTATAGATATACATATATTAAAATGTATGTTACGAATTCGCGTTATTATTATATAAAAAATTCCTTCAAAGTGGAGTTTCTAAAAATTTAACAGTGGAATTTTTTAAAAAGCATATATCCTTTTTCAGCGTAAAAAACCCTACAACACCCATCTATTATTTGTTGAGAAACAAAAAGTTGATCAAAATTTATTGTTCAGCGTAATTTATTATTAATATCTAAAGCTTATATAATTTTACGCAAACTAGTATTATATATATTTTTTATAATTAGTGTAATGATTTTTAATATATATAAAATATGTTAAAGAGAAAATACGTATATTTATAGACTTGTGTAGATTTAAGCAAAACACCGAATGGCTTTTTCTAAATTCTAAATTACCGTGACGTTGCGACGATTTTACTCGAGCTGCCTGAATAACAACCTACTCTGAGGGATGATGTGAGGAAGGCAGACAAAACGGTGCCTTGTTTGCACTTGATAAACGAGCGACGTTTTCTTCCGCGGTGTATCGGCGATGTTTGCTCGTCGTTTAATGCCGACGACAACCTGACTCAAATATTTAGCACGTACAAGACGAACAACAAGACCTGCTTGCTTGCCATGTCCGAGCTTTCGTCTCTCTCTCTCTCTCTTTCTCTCTTCATGAAACTCGTATATAGCGACGCATGTTCCTCGGTAATAATGTAAAAAAAAAAAAAGAACGTGGACGTCAAGTAGACCAGCGTGCATTCTAAATTACCGAGGATCGACAGTCACATGATCTATGTTAGTCCATCAATAGGCATATTTATCTTATACTCATTTTGTGCCTGCTTGACTGTATTGTTTTGGCCTTGCTTTAATAAAATTCCTAGAAAACTCTATATTGTATGCGCACTTGTTATTGATATAGCGGTCTAATAGAACGGCATTAATGTATAAGTTAACATAACGTACCTCCTCATTTCACGCGTCATATTTAGTATAACTCGTATAATTACATAAAGGAAAAATGAAATATACGGAAAATTGTTCTTCACACATCGTACATATCTTGTATTAGCTTCCGCTCGCCTTTCGAGGCGGAATTGCAATTCTCTCGAAGTGCGCAACGAAGCAGCACAATTCTCCTCGCTTCCTATCCGCGCAAAAAAAGGCCGACGAGTGATAGAAAGGGAGCGGCCGGTCAGCTTCGTCGTTCTGGCACTAATCATTCTCCAATCAATGGATCGTGCTTTAATTGCACTTCTCCGTTACGGGATTCCAGCCGCGCGAGGAGAGAGAGAGAGAGAGAGAGAGAGATAGGGGGAGCGTTCTCTCCAGGAAGAAAAATCACATTGTGCCGCGTGAGATTCGTATCGAGGTTTCCCTTCCACCCCGATTACGACTCGGCCAATCATCGACGATCGCGCAAATTGTTCGTATAATCTCGGCGCGCGTTTTTCTATAGAAATAACACGCCGATCGAATATCCTACTCGCGCATCCGTTGCGTTCTCTTGATATCCAGTCGCATCTGCAGATCTCGCGCGGTTTTTCTTCGCGGTGGCGCACCCGCCTTTTGAAGAAAAACAAGCGGCATCATGACCGATAATTATTTCTCGTTACGGTGCGGGCATTAAACGTAATCAGAATTTAATCATATACTGAGACGGATAAGATATGAGAGAGGAATGATTGGATCTTTGTCCTAAAGTAAACTGAAACTGACTAAACTGACAGAGTCACGAGCTATCCTTGCCGTATACAGCTTGTTTCGTTATACCGGAATATATGTACGGCAAAATTGCAATGAATTTGTGGATGCAAGAATTAAAGAGATTCGGCCATTTCGTTAATTCTATACCTCGATAATTCGATGCGGATGCGATAATTCACGCAACGTCGAATTAATTTAAAAAAATCGCGGTTTTTTTTATTGCGCGAGATCTTTCGTGGAATTAAACTATACCACAAATATTATATGCCCGAACATTACTACTTATTTATCTTGAATAATTTTCCAGAATAACATTCAAATTCTTTCTCTGAAAGTGGCATTCTTTCCATTCCACTGCCGTTCACAATTCGCTGCAAATTGTAATTACGTCGAGCGCAGAACTTCGACAGTCCTGTTGTGTGATCAGAGTAAATAATCGCCGTAATAAGGTCTCGCGCGATATCTCCAAACCACTCATGAGGTTCCATGGGAAACGGCGCGGCGCCGCCGCCTTCCAGGCCGAAGCGGTCGAGGATTTTATAAATATAATATTATCGAGTTTCGCGCGCGGCGCGCGTGCAGTTGGGTCGCGCGATTTTCGACACCGCGGCCATCCCGCGGTGCTCTTAAAGGGAAGAGCCGGGACTCGTTCAAGGCGAGCCACATGCCACCGCAATTAACGGTCCGATATTTCATCTGGAAAACAAGGCGAAACAGCCAATATTATTGCATCATGGTCTTGACGTGGCAGCTGTAAGAATACATTAAATCTCGGAAAGTGGTGCAAGCGAGCGCGCGAATTGCTTGTCCCGGATAACGGTGCGGGTTCGCCCGTCGACATGCTGCAGAGACGTTATATATACATATATTGTATCGAATTCCGCGAAACTCATCTCCGCGACGACGAATAACAAGAGTATTACTCGTACCGCAGGCAGTGGCAATTAAATGATTCTTTTCCGCCGCCAAATTAATAGACAATATATCGTCGAGATTGCGCATCATCTGTATTCTGTCAGCGCATCTCATCTCCTACACGTTTATCGTCGAGCGCACGTACGGATTTAAATGTTAATTCTCTCCGCTTCTCTTCCGGAAAAGCTCGTGCTGTAGCACACGTGTCGCACACAGCGCTCTCGACTTACTTATTTGGCTTATTTATCTGAGAGTAAATAATCGCGTTTTTATACTCCCGCTCGCTATTAATATGCGCCGTGACGAAAAACAACAGCACACACGTACAACACACGCATTATATACGTATAGAGAAGAATGCTAAATATCAGAGATTACCCAAGAGCGTGCAACTATCTATTTACGTTATTGCGTAATATCGAGCGCACGGAGGTAATTAACGGAGGTAATTAATCGGCGCGCAACAAGAGACAGCGCCGCCGCCGGCTCTTTAAACGCCGCAAATCCATCTCGGGGAATTAACACGCGGGGAAAAAAGGCCGGCAACAGCCCGAACAACTTCATTCGATATATCCCCTCGCGTATAACGTTACGTCGCCGGGACACTAAGTAAGCCATGTATTCCGTTTCTGCCATTCTTCCATTGCAAAATCGGGCGCGGTATATTATAATTCCGTTACGCGATATCGCGCATTGCGTGGGACGTATAGGCAAGCTCTTGGATGATCGTATTCGTGTGAGACAATAAAGTACTTCCCAAAAATTTAAATTAAAAGATTGGAAATATCGCGAATAGGTGCTAAAAATTATTTTTCAATTTATGATAAAAGGACGCTTCTTTCATTGAAAAAAGTAATCTTGCAATTACAGCGAGAATTATTTAGGTACGAAAAATTAGCTAAACGGATAAGTGATTAGTAAGCACTGCGATACCATGTATGTTTTGTATTTAATCAATATAGATAACAGAGACAGAAATTATATCTGAACTATTTGTCAAAAGCAAGAAGTTTCTCTATGACGTTTAATCAGTCCAGACTCCAATACAGATTTCAATCATATTTGGTTATGAGACCTATATTTTCTTGCATATATTCTTAGAATATTGTTGCTATAAATTCCATGTATGACAGACAATTTTTTAGCAGATACAAAAAACAGCGATATAATTTAAGTGTAATATTTGGAATTTTAGCTGGAACAGCGAAACATTGAGTGTTAAACGATTTTTTAGATTTTAGACACTTTAACTACTGTTTATTAATATATATAGAATATACTGTCTATTCATTTAATGTTATCTATCTTGAAGTTGATTTCTTTCACACAAACACATGCATAAAGAATATCAAATGTGTGGATGATACTTCTTTTCCTGTTGGTAATCTGAAACGTCATCATTCCTTTTTTTATCCTGATGTAACTTAAGTATTGTGTAACGAAAGAATTGTAATTAACCTTCTTATCGTAATTAACTCTCATTTGGATTTTTATGGAAGCGACTATGAAACAAGTATTTGAAATTGAGGGAAGCATGACGATACAAGAAGACTCTCCGCGTTCTTGGTATATGTATTGAATATCGCATAGTTATTAATTATGAGTCGGCAGAATAAATCAAGAGAGCGATCATGATGCCAAGATGTCAATAAGACTATAGCTGGTCAAGCAAATACAAAGAATGAGACGGATTGAGCTGTCTTTATATAATCGGGATTTCTTCTTACAGTTACAAAAAGTCCTTCGATAAACATACCAGATTTGGCAAACCGCCAAAGAGTCGGAGATCGGAATCTCGGGTTAGAAGAATTTTGACGTGGATTAATCACGAACCGGTTACCTTAGTCAATCGTCGACAAGCGGATTTTGTAGAGCGTACTAGATCGTTTGTCGGACAAGTCAAGTAATATCAATTGAACAAGCAACTATTAATCTTGCGATAGTTGTACAATTTATAATGGAATGATGAGAGAGAGATGATAAAAATCTCGTAAATTCCTTATGTAACCTCCACCCCTTCCGTTATATAAATAAAAAGATAAATACAAATATTTTAATTCTCATAAATAAAATATTAAATAAAATATTTAGTTTTAATAAAATTTTTTTAACTTTTACTATTTTTTATAATTATATCTTCCTATCATTTATTACTATATATAAATATATTATATTTATATTGTTATTTTTTGTTGTATAATGTTTTAGATTTAATTTTTTTGTGAAACGACGTGGCTTTTAAATTATAAATCGTATAGAAATTATCTTTTTTTCTTTTTCAGTACTAAATAAATAATAGGTATAAATAAGAATTTAATTACAATTAACAATAAAAATGGCATTTTTTGGACTAAAATTTGTGATTCAAGGGACCTAGAAACATCGCGTCTTTATGCAGATATCGTACACGGTAGGAAGACCATCAAAGACGAATTTAACGTATCAGATATTTTACGTAATTTCGATTTCAACGAGCAAGCGCTTTTTTGGTGGCAATGTCTACAAGATTTAAACGATTTTCGTCTAAAACTCAAAAAACGCATGCCGGAAGTGCCGTTCTTGGACATAGAGGACGAGCTTTCTTGTCTGGACAAAGTACACATGTTTTTATTAACTTTGTATATCTAATAAATATATCATATATGCATATGTATGTGTGTTATTTTATGCTTATTACAACAAAATGCATATTAATTTATAAATTCGCATGTAAATAGGTATAGATATACTAGGTAAATGGTCAATAAAATTAACCAAAATTACACGGTCATATCAATTTCGATTATAAATCATATTTTTGTAATTATGAAATTGTCACGAAATTTTAATGCAGGAATATGTCGGAGCGCTGCCTGAAGATAGGGTTTTTCTGATTTTCGAAAAGTACCGCATATATCCAAACAAGAAGTTTCTCGTGCCGTTAATGGACACATTGCAGTTGCGCAAAGATGGAAATATTAATTACAGGGAAATGCTGAATCTCTTGAATTGGAAGCGTAGTTTACCCGTTTTGCCATCAATAAAACGTAATTTACAGATAATGTTTGTGATATCTTTAAATTTTTTGTAAAATTAATCAACTGGAGGAATTGCAAATGATAAACTTTCTTAAGGAAATCAATATAACAATTTTAATTTAATTTGTAATGATATAGCACATAAAATATTAAAGAATATATTATTTTAGAAATATCCGTGGGGAGTCCAGATCGTACTACGTATAGTGACAGCATAAAAAACGTTCAAATAACTGATAGTGCAAGTAGGACTTTCTTTTTATATATCTATATTCGATCTTAAAAATATTTCTCTCAAAGCGAATATTTGGAATATGAGCTTCAAAAATTATTATAGAAGTACGTGCGGCAGGACTTCCATCTGAGAGGTCAGACTTTCTGATAACAGCATTACCGCGCGCCGGTATACATCCAGATAGGGAGAACTTGGGCGATCAAACCTCCGTTCATTGTGTGATATCGCCTAGCATATTCACAAGATACGGCTTGACACATATAGATTTTTTCAAGGTAGATCGCGCATCATCTAGTTATCTCATATATTATCGTTTGAATATTTCTACTCTTAATTCAATATGAATTATATCAAATTACGAAATTCAAATAACAAATAAATAAGTTTTTCAAATAAAAGTTTTTTTATCTAAAAAACTTATCAAAATTCAAATTGTAAATATTAATTTATATACTATTTTATTATTTTATTTCGTTATAGTATTTTATCTATTATATCATGAAAATACTAATTTATATTATTTTGTAAATATGTTATATAGACTCACGACAAGGAAGAAATACGAAGCATATTCGAGAACATCGGTTTCGAATTTCCGGAGAACAGCTTCGATACGCTTTGGCAGGAAGGAATGCGGAAAGATTGTACCGGCGGCGTGTGCGTGGAAACATTTCGGGAGCTACTCGCCGCGTCAAATTTCGTGGCAAAGAAAACCACATGTGGCTAGATACATTCGAGCTTTTTTTGCTTACTTTTTTAGCTTTTCCATTAAATATACAAAACTGTAAATATACAAACAAATATACAACGTATTTATTTAATATATATAAAATTATATTACATAATCATACATTAGCCACAATGTCGATTCAGTCTGCTGGTTTCAGGAATTTTGGTTTCTTCCTCAATGGTTCGTCTTGGTCGTTGGACTTTATATGCTGCGCCTTTCTGTTCTTGTTTACTTTGTCAAACTTCGTTCGCATTTTCTTCCACTGAACGGCCATTTGTTCATCAGATATGTCGGCCTCTTGTTTCACCTCTATTTTGGCTCGTTTGGCATTCTCCTTTACTTCCATTAATTTCTCTATAGTTGGATTCATTCCTTGAAAGCTCAATCTACCGTCGGCGAGTCCCTCGCAGAAAACATAGCTCGGTTCAATGAGAAATTTTCCACTGAACAATAGAATAAAATAGAAGTAATTAATGACAGCGATACTTCCACTGGGATAAAATTTGAGTTTTAACAATATATTTTGATGTACAAAAAACATCAAAAATGTATTAAAATTTACCAAATATATTAAAGTAGAGGCCTGAGGGAGCCAACATGAGTGTTGGTGTGAAATAATTTTCTTATAATATCCAACTCCATCCAAATTTGTTACAAGATTGATTTCGACCTTATGTAATGAATTGTTTCAAGATCGACGAATATGCGGCGCGCAGTTTGCATGTGGTTGGATGTTGTAAAAAAATTATTACATACCCATGTTGGCTCCATGGTTACCACTTTCTAAGGAATATTGTACCGGACATGTATTAGTGTTTTGCTAGAAGATCATTAATCACGCTATTAAAAATTCTTTCAAAATAGACATTCTCTAAAAAAAAAAATAATCAAAATTGGCTTTTCTGCCAGATTTTTTCATTGAGCCCAAGAAAAATCGTGTTTTCCCGAAAAGGAGGTTGTCAACATTTTAAACGCTCGCCTACAGATTATTTTCGTGTGCCGAGGAGTCGGAGATTTGTCGAATAGGCCGGAGTCTCCGGACGAAAACCGGAGAGGTGGCAAACATGGTTGACTCCCATAGGCCTCTAATATATTTTATTTATTCAAAACAGCCTCCTTTAAATTATTTGTATTAATTTACATTATTATTAATCCAGATGTAAGGCTTAAAAATATATTTAAAGAAAGTAACCGAAAGTGCTTACGACGCTTCCTTCATGCGTGATGTAAGCTCGCTGCCGAAGTACTCCTCTCCTTCCTCCTGAAAATGCTCCTTCTCCACTTTGTCTTTCGTCCGTTTCATGAACTGCAAACAAACTCACGTATTATACATGCAACAGTGCTTCATCTTCTACATAATCCCTCTTTCTTGAACTCACCTTCATTTGCAATATACTCTTCGACAGAGATACTTTCTTCGGATCCATATTTATAACGATTAATTATCACGGTATGTAAAAAATAAACGATAACACCCTCCAAGAAACGGTCAAATTGCGGAGAAGTCTGACAATTCTTCGCAAAGGATAGTCAAGATTTCAAAGAATTTCCTCAGAGAAATTACGCGCACGTGTCAAAATACCACGGATCTGTAAATCACTCGAATCACTGTAAACAAGGCGAACCATAACCTGACTTTTCCATTGTAGCCACTTGCAAGCCACTTCAATTCTGTTACCAACCTATGTGAGACGCGATCTCTTTTATCGACGCTTAGCATGTACCGACCGCGAGTATATCGCGATACGTTATATATATAAATCATTAACTGCAATTAGATATACAATTATTATAGCTATTATAGCTTTTTTTAAGTTATAACAGTTATAATACAGATGAATTACAATGTACAGTCTAAAAAACATTGATCTAACAATAAATCATTAAATTAATATCATATATTATTGATTATAAATTGCTTAAATTTTAGCAATTATACTAAACCAGCCACGCTAACTCCCGTAAGGGTGTCGGTCTTTAATAATATCATTATAAATTATAATGTTGACTGTAATTGACACGCCGCATAACCTAGCTACTGCATTATTTTTCTTTTACCGCGGGCGGACGGACGGAGGGTTACCGACCGCGCCCGACTCGACAGGCTTCTCCGAGCTGCCGCGCGCCGCGTAACTGTTGGCACCGCTTCGTCGAGAGAGATCACTGGCTGGCCCGCTGGCGTGCCTCTCGAAACGATCATCATCATCCTTCGTCCCATAAGATCGTGCAGGATGCGGAGGTCCGTGACGACCGATCTGGCATTCGGGGCAGATCGCGTCAGCAGAGAATGAGCCTGCGAGATCGAGGAAGAGCGAGGGGACGCATTGTCGTGGAAGTAGCAGCGGCGGCGGAAGCGGCTTGAATCGCTCGTACCCGGAGGTAAAACCCGCGCGGCCCCGCACGCGAGCGACAAGCTCGCGCGCGCGAAATCAATAACAACGGCGTTATTCCAAAACGGTATCGCTCGCCAAGAGCTCTCCGGGAGCTTCGTGGTAAATTCGAAGGTTTCGGTAAGGCCTCGACAGACCCACCCACGCCTCGGCGCGATCTCGATTCCATTCTGAGGTTCCACGAACCTCGCGCTGGCTGCATCGTAGACGCGAAGTGTAGCTGGACGACATCTTAGGGACTCGTCGACTCTAATAGAATTTAGCAAAATTATTTTCGTTTCTTGCTCCACGCGCGCATTTCTTCAAATCGTGCTCTTGCCACGCGAGCATTAATGCTTTCGACGACTGATGACTCGCGGTGCAATGTTTACGTGGATTTTCTCGCTGAAAATAAATCGTAACTTTGGAGCAGTTTTCGTCTTTTTTTTTCTGTAATTAATAAACGATTATATTTACATGGAGATTTCGTGTGAATACAATACTTTACTTTTCGTTTTTAATACGAATCGATTTTAATACGATGGCGTGATAGGCATACCAGTCGTATCACATGTTGGAACCACCTCTTATGGCCCATTTTCACAATGTATGGTTATGGTTACCTATAGGTTGAAAATCATCAAGAAGTTTATTGTTTAACGACATTTGATTAGGACTCCACCAACCAGTTAATTTGATGTCAACTCAACTGATATACACGTGACCTTTAGTTTATTTTATTATAAGCTTATGAAAGTGTGTTTTAATTAATTTTCCAGTTTTAGTTAACCTAACTTTTTTGTTAACCATATATTATGAAAATGGGCCTACACAATACTATTATAGAATTTCAACTTTTTAAATATTAAACGGCAGTTTGATGTTCTTCAAATAAAAACATCTTTCAAACAAATTACTTATATTTATTATTATTATTTATGCTTGGCAGACACAGCACTACGCGCAAAGATGTCGAAGCGACCCTTAGAGAGCGGGGACTCCAGTACCCAACCACCTATAAAGAAGGTGCAATTTGAGCCGATTCTAATTGGGCCCATATCTACACTCGAGGAAATGGACATGAAGGTTTTGCAGTTTCAAAACAAAAAACTGGCACAGGTATAAAAAAATTTATATGTTGCATTTGTATCCTTAATAAGTTGATTTTGTAATTACCTTGATCTTCTATCAATAATTGGCTCTATATTCTTGCAAGAAAGTATTTATATAGATTTATATTTTGTAATGGTATATATACATATATTCTTTGTAATAGCAGATAAAGATAAATGTTGAGCTGCCATATAAGGATGCATATCATTATATATAAGAAAATAGTAATGTAATTCTATGCACTAAAGATATTAAACACTAATTATAAAATATAGGAGATTGAAAAATTATGGAGCTAATCAAGATTCTTGATCCTTAACTTGAGATCCTTTGTTCTTACACTTTGCACTTAACAAATGCCCCGCTACTATCATAATTACCTTAATCTCCTATCAATAATTAGCTCTATATTTCTACAAAAAAATAAAATTATGCAGGACAATTGGAAAAATGCTAAAACTAAATTGCTGTTATTTTTTAATGGAAGAATAAAATAAACATTACAGTTTATTCTACAGAAGTAGTTTAATTAATTTTGTTTAAATTTTGTTTTTTTTTTACAAAATAATTTAGATTTTAACATCTTTCTGTTATTCTGCATATACTACATGCGTCTTTATATATAATTTAAAATTTTTAGATTCAATTTTAATCAAGTTTTAAGTATAACCTATAAATGATATTTTTACATATAAATTGTATATAATTCTTTTACAGTATTGTACAATTTGTACAAGTTTATATAGCTTCTCTTATATGCAATTTATTTATTTCAGAGATTAGAACAAAGGCATAGAGTTGAAGCTGAAATGAGACAACGTATCGAACAATTAGAAAAACGTCAAATGCAGGACGATGCGGTACTTAATGTAGTTAATCGATATTGGAATCAACTCAATGAAGATATACGTGTGTTACTGCAGAGATTCGACGCTGAAACTGCTGATGAATCAGAAAACAAAAGTACGCTTTGAAAGAAAGTGCAATATAACAATATTCTCCACGAGACAAATTTAACGAAACGTCTTTCTTTCTTATTACAGACGAGAGCGAAGCTACAACGTCGTTTCTCATGCAGCTGTCATCTTGGGACAAGGAGGAATTAGACGACAAATTAGCAAACCGTGTGCAGGTGTCGAAACGTGCTGTGTCTAAAGTTGTACAAGCTTTTGATCGTTTATCTCAAAGGAATGAGAAGATCACTCTTGCGCTCAAAGGAGAATTTGACGGTGGTGAGTCACATCTAGAATTCCTTCGAGGTTTTTCAAATTAAGGCTCCTGATTACTCAGCCAAAAGTTGGCTCTGCGTTGACGTTCACAATATCGCGATAGGAATTAGAACCTTGTTTAGCGTACTAGGCCTGTTCTACAGTCATGTATCAGTGTTATAAGTCGTAAACTGTAAGAATTCTGCAATATAGTGTATGCTGGTAAGCAATAAGAATTGAATGATCACAGCCGAATGTGAAGAGAATATTCGACTGAAGTAACTAACGAATCTTACTGTAAAATGTGTTGACGAAATTTTATGTTGCACGTGTCATTTTATTATTATGTGCTTAATTGTGACTTGTTTTGTACTTATCAAATTCGTAAAAATGGATAAAAACAAGTTATTTTTTAATTTTATATATAAATGCATATTTTTCACTCGTTTCAATAGCTGTCAAACCATAAATTTTCTTATCTGAATAGGCTTCACTTTACGTGCTTTTTACGACTGTTTATTGACTGTCAAGGGGGGGGAAGAATAATTTTTATCCATTTTTACAAGTTTTTCAAAACGATCCTGTTTTTTTATTTTATCTAAATTTTCTTTATTTAAAAATGGCACGCAACAAACTTTTACATGTCATTTCTCACTTATGACGTTATAATTTCAATATGGTTGCGGTGGTCAGGAGTCTTAACGCAGATATAGATACTCGAACAAATTGGCATATGTATCTTGTTTTGATTTGCGATAAGATCCAAATTTTTTCACAAAATCTCGGAGAAACTTTATGGACATATTACATAACTATTGCGAAAAGTCATAAATCTCTTTATAACATCATATTATCATAGAAGAGGCGCCAAACATTGACGAAGTCGTACGTCGTGCCAATGCAGAAATACAAATGGAAAACAGAAATCTGCAGGCGATAAATATACAATTGCACGAAAAGTATCACACTATCTCATTGAAGGTAATTGACTTCTGTTTTACTTATATTTAATTATTATCGACTATATACATCTGACAGCTATTTATTTGACAACAAATAAATTATTAGTCTTTGAAATGGAGAGATTCTTATATGGATATTTTTTTTAACCAATATCATTTAAATTTGAAAAGTTATGATTTATTAATCTCATCATAAGATTTTGTTTTGGAATGCCGTGTGATTTCATATGAGAGCGGCAGATTTTTAACTGGCAAGTCGCAAATTTTCAATCTCCGATTCCACATGTAAATTTTTAATTTATAAGATTCTCCAAGTTAGGGGGAATTGGATGTGAAACTAACAATCTTATAGAAAAACCCAACTGTTGAAAAATTTGAAGAAAACCTAATTTAGAAGGTCGAGTCTCCAATTGGGCTGTAGCGTTAGAGTTATTTTTTTGTAAATTTTTGCTCGATAATTTAGAAATGTCAATTATTCATTCTGCATATTTCTCCGTAGATGTCAGAGCTGCAGGATACAATAACAGGCAAAGATACGCTTGCAGCAGAATTGCGAAATCAAGTCGACGATCTGCAGTACGAATTGAACAAAGTGCGGGCGAGAAACGATAAATTGGAACATCATCTTGGAGAAGCAATCGAAAAGTTAAAAACCTTTCAGCAAATTCATGGCACAGACGAGAAAGGCAGTAATAAACCGAATACTATAGTTGCATCTAGTGTTCCTCAGACTAAGGTAAAACTTCTTTTTTTAATTTTTTATATAAAGTTACAAGTGCAAGCTTAAATTTAATACTACAATATTCTTTAATTTATAATATATTTTTTGTTTTTTATTTACAGCTTGATGACTTACAAAGAGAGCTCGAAGAGACGCGTGAATTAGCTAACAACAGACTGCAGGAATTAGACAAACTGCATCAACAACACCGCGACACCTTAAAAGAAGTGGAAAAATTGAAAATGGATGTGAGTAATAAAAGAGAGTTAAATTTCCTAAATTTTATTTATATCACGATATTCCAATCTAATCTAATTAAACTTCGCTCTATTACTAAATTGTTGAATTTGAACCTTTTTTTGCAGATAAGACAGCTTCCCGAGTCAGTAATTGTGGAGACAACAGAGTACAAATGTTTACAATCGCAATTTTCCGTATTATATAACGAGTCCATGCAGTTAAAAACGCAATTGGATGACGCTCGCCAACAATTGCAATCGAGCAAGAATGCACATCTGCGCCACATCGAGATGATGGAGGTAAGATCTGTATATATCCGTAGACGGTGCTCTCACGAGCGTGTAAATTGACATTTTATTTTTATCACAATCTTTTTATAGAGCGAAGAGTTAATGGCCCAAAAGAAATTGCGCGGTGAGTGTATACAGCTCGAAGACGTTTTAGCACAATTACGCAAGGAATACGAGATGCTTCGCATTGAATTCGAACAGAATCTAGCTGCCAATGAACAGACAGGTCCGATCAATCGAGAAATGCGGCACCTAATTACCTCCCTTCAGAATCACAATCAGCAATTAAAAGGAGAAGTGCATCGGTACAAGCGAAAGTACAAAGAAACTTCTACTGAAATACCTCGAGTAAGTACAAATAAACGTTTCGTGAATTGACGAGTGTTAGAGATGGCCTCAGGTACTGTGTCGTGAAAAATCAGTTTTCTAAAGTGGCGATCTGAAAAATAGAGGCTTAGCTGTAAAATTCTTGTTTGAATTTTTGACAAAATTATATTCTCTTGAAATTTTCCTATTTTTGGAGGGCAGAATAAACGATCCTTTATTTATTTTTTTTTTTACGTGGGTCAGGATTGAATTTGTCGATTACAAGTTAACCGCTCTTACATAAAGCACGCGTTATCTCAATAATAACAAAATTTTACATATGATAGTATATAATAGTACGATGTATTATTTACTCCAATAAAATTGTAAAATGATTTATTTTTATCAAATGTTTACAGTTAAAAAAGGAAGTAGAGGAGTTGACAACTAAATTAGGCCAACAAGCGTCGCAAGAAAATAAAGAAGGGAATAATTCAGACGGCAGCGGAAAAGAAGAAGATGCCTCAAATTCGCTGCCAGGTTCTACACAGGTAAAAATATAAATTTAATCACACTCGCGCAAAATATGATATACTTTTGCTTGTGTAATTATATTAATTTTTTATACATTTTGTTGTTTGTATTTGCATGCAGTTCTGAAAAAGTTAAATCTTTTTACAGAAATATTAATAGATTAGACTATTATTCAATTCCTAGAATGAGATTTTGTTTATGCTTATTTTCGTCTTACAAATTGTTGATATGTAGATGGCATATAATTGACATATATTTGACATATAGATAAAAGAAGAAAGTGGTGTTACAATAAAGAGGGAATCTGGTGCTGATGAAGAGGTGGAAACTATTGAGGTTGGAGAAGGTGAAGGTAACAAAAACACGCCAGACTCTCTTACGTTAACTTCGCCGACTCTGAAAAAGGAGAAAGATATAAAACGTGAGAAGGATATCAAGAAAGAAAATGTGAAAACTGAACATCGGGATCCTGCACATCGCACCAAAGACGCAAAAATGGCGGAATCGGAGCTCGTGAGAGATTTGAAGGCACAACTGAAGTATGTTTGCGCAGAGTTATATCTAGTTTTTGCATAAAATACTGACATTTCTGTGTTGCAACGATATATAATTTTAGAAAATAAACGAAATTAAATATCTGATTGTAGAAAAGCTGTGAATGAGATGAAGGAAATGAAGCTTTTATTAGACATGTACAAAGGTGTTGGAAAAGAACAACGGGACAAAGTACAGTTAATGGCTGCCGAACGTAAAACGAGAGCAGAGTTAGAGGACTTACGACAGCAAGTTAAAAAGATTCAAGTATGTTGCAATATATTTTGTAATTGCTACAATTGTGCTATGTAATGATTTTATAGTAATGTATAGATAACGTGATAAATCAATGAAATGAATGAAACATGTATACATACATTTAATCAGCTATCGCAATTTGAAGAAAAATAATTTGTTTGGATAAGAATTAATATTTTTCTCTTTAACAGTAATAACATTATTGATACCATAATATTGTATGTATATGTGCATTTGTCGATTCATTGATTTAGTAAGGATTTTTATTAATAATCTAATAATGTGAATTGCATTGTGTTCTTGTAGGAAAGTAAACGTGAGGAACGCAAGAAGTTAGCTGATGAGGATGCACAGATAAAGATTAAGAAACTGGAGGAGCAAGCGTACACATTGCAACGTCAGGTTGCTTGTCAAAAACAGGTAGTTCACAGGTTTTATTTATTCTTCCTGTGAATTTACTTTTGATGCGCTATATATATAAAAAGATTAGAACTAATTAACTGGGAGGTAGAATTGATTGTAAGAGGTTTGGCTCGAGAATTTTTTTTATTAATCAGTAATGGAAATATGCAAATTTTTATATATGTATACAGTCGTGGACAGATTGGTGACACTTTTTTTTATAGGTTAGATTTTTTCAAAACGCACTAATATTTTGCAAATGCGAACCACGATTAGTGTTATATTGTTTTTAGACTAAAGACAGTAAATCGTGGTTTACATTTGCAAAATATTAATTATCTATAATATATATATATCCTATATATTTTATGTATATGAAATATATTATTAAAAACCCTATTATTAACCTGTACCTATATTATTAAAAGCCTTTTAGTATTAGGAAGTAGATAACAGAATCTGGTAGCGTACGCGAACGGAAATATAATGTTGAACAGAATTGTATTTGGCTGCAGGAGGAGGAGGCGCTTCTAAATGAGATGGAAGTGACTGGGCAAGCGTTTGAGGATATGCAGGAGCAGAACTCTAGACTGATACAGCAGCTGCGCGAGAAAGACGACGCGAATTTCAAGCTCATGACGGAGAGGATTAAAAGTAATCAATTGCACAAGCTCGCGAGGGAGGAGAAGGACGTGCTGAAGGAGCAAGTGTCCACCCTGACGACGCAGGTGGAGGCGGCCAACGTAGTTGTACGAAAGTTAGAAGAGAAGGAGCGTCTCTTACAAAACTCTCTCGCCACGGTGGAAAAGGAATTGGCGCTGAGACAACAGGCGATGGAGATGCATAAGCGGAAAGCGATTGAGAGCGCACAATCTGCGGCTGATCTCAAGCTTCATCTTGGTAAGATTCTTTGCACAAAACGCGGAAAGATTAAAGTACAAATTTTTAATTACGTAAAATCTAATCTCTATATCTCATATAAATTTTTAATCCTGTATTAAATTGTTTATATAACGTCTTTGCATTTATTAATGTTAGTATTATCTAGAAAATTAAATCAAAATAAATAATTTAATAAAAACTAAACATTTATTAAACTTACTTTTAACAAGAAATTGATACAACTTTTGAGAGTGCCTTCTACGGTCACGGTTGGATCTTGCCTAATATTTCTATGGCCGCATTCCACTTAATGCTCGCAAGCATTATTTGTTTAATATTTGACAAACAACAAGGATTTCAAAAGCGTTATGAGCGTTAAATGGAATGCCTATATTAATTTTTGAAATTATTCAGTCATTTAACTGTGAATCAATGTCGGACTTGCAACGCAATCATTCGCTAAAGATAAAATAGTGAAATCACAATTTGATTTTCGATTTTAATAATCTAATGCGAAGAAGCATCTTAATTTCTCCGCAGTGATTTAAGACGTTTATTCTAATTTTAATAATCCGATGCGAAGAAGCATCCTAATTTTCTTCGCTGTAATTTAAGATGCTTATTAAAATTGAAGAGCAATTGCGATCTCACTATCCATATTCCATCGTCAGTGAATGTTTGTATTGCAAGTCCAACATTGATTCGAAGCGCAGTTTAAATGGCTGAATAATGGATTTAAAAATTCATACAGAAATATTATTAAGCACCAAGATCCAGCCGTGACCGTAGAAGACGCTCTCAAATTTATTTGTAATATTCACTTACGCGGTCTAGTTCAAATTATTGATACAACTTTTATTGTTACAGAGAAATATCATTCCCAAATGAAGGAAGCGCAACAGGTCGTAGCCGAGAAAACAAGTTCCTTGGAAGCTGAAGCGTATAAAACTAAAAGATTACAGGTAAACGATTCAATTCTCCATTAACTGCAATACTTATCTTGTGTTCTGAACTTTTTGAATTACCTTTTTTTGAATACCATTAATAATCAGTTATTGATAAGAAATAAAGTTTAACGTATGAATTGCGAATTACAGGAGGAAATAGCGCAACTCAGACGCAAGGTCGAGCGTATGAAGAAGATCGAGCTCGCTGAAACCCTGGATGAGGTAATGGCGGAGGAGCTGCGGGAGTACAAGGAAACTCTGACCTGTCCGTCTTGCAAGGTGAAACGTAAGGATGCTGTTCTCACCAAGTGCTTCCACGTGTTCTGCTGGGACTGCCTCCGCACACGTTACGAAACGCGACAGCGGAAGTGTCCCAAGTGCAACTGCGCCTTCGGCGCCAATGACTACCATCGGCTGTACCTGTCCACATGAGGAAGAAGGTGCTGAACTCTACTTGGTAAATACGCCGCGGTGTAGAGTAATGTTTTGTAATATGTCACGTCAGCATTTCTCTTTTCTTTTTTTTTATACCGTTTATTTATTACTCTGACTTTTTGTGAAATGATCATACGCAATATGTGACTATCCCTGAAAACGGTAATGTATCACGAATTTTGCTAAGTTTTTATTAAGACCGTAGTAGTGAAAGAAAAATAACATAAGTCGTAGAACTTTAAGTTGTGGACTTATAAGAATCAGTCGAGAATTCTGAAGACTTCCAAGCGATTTATTTATTACTTAATTCTATTACTTATGTTTTTTTTTTTTTAGACATTATGGTCTAGTCTATAAATTGACATAAGAATAAACAGATAGGTAGATAGGCATAAAATAAATAGATAGAATGAATGAAATGAATGAATGAGCGAGCGAATATATAGGAAAAAAGAGAGGTACAAAGAAGAACGTGGAAAAAAGAAGAAACAGCTGGATTGCATTTTTAGTCAGTACAGTTGTTTTAACGTGACATTATTTTAGATATTATTAATACTTCGGTATTAAAATACGTATATAGATATATATACATATGAAAGAATACTTTGATATATGGTCGAATAATTTGATATTTAAATAATAATTACCTATGTCATCGGGTCAGTTCTCTAATGCGACTACAACTGCATGTGCGCATATAACTGCTTAAACACTTCTAAATGTATTTTATATGAATGCGACATTAATCAATATTATACCAACGATAATCGGTTATTATTAATGTCGTAGATATATAATAAACCAACGTGCTAAGAATCTAATAATTTTAATCTTGAAAATAACTTGTAAAAGATTCGTATCAAATCGGCAATAACATACATATGGGCAGCAAGCTTTTAATTTTATCTACAATGTAAGAAAGATTTATTCGATTACTCTTTGATCTCGTTTTTAAGATAAGCTTGCGCGAAATTATCGTTAACGTCTACATACGGCACGGAATTGGGATTGCAATGCCTTCCTGAAGCGAATATACTATCACCCTCAGCGACGACAATTTCCTGTTTGAAATTTCTTATAAAGATGTCTTTTATAAAGATAAAATAAAGATCACCGAGATTATTCGAGTTCGTCAAAGTCAAAAGATTAATAATTATTAATCTATTAGAAAAATTTGAAACTATTAATTTCTAGATACCGATAAGATCACATCTAAATTACTCTCAGTTAAGTAACTATGACAACTAAAATTAAGTGATTAACTAGATACGTAGATTCATTACTGTTATTGATTCATTATTGTTCGACATTCATGACACAATGTAAATCTGCTGAATGTGACTAATGTTTAGGAGGTCAGACTTGTTCTGGACGTTATGTCTGCTGTTATGTTTAGTCGCGTAATTATTTTATCTTCTTCGTCATTTTATTTAAATCTTCATCTCTGAGTTAGGAAGTCTCGAAAGAGTAATCTATTCACTCTTCACTTCTAGAAGTGAAATTAAATTTACTTTTTAAGTTAAAATTTGATTTCGACGATTGGTAATTCGTATGATCACATTTATAATTGTTTAAAAGGACATAAGTTAGCAAATACAGTCCAAATTCGCTTTATCTATTGTTTATAATACGAGACAGGCAAACTGATTAATAACAGGTATGTCCTGTACGATAATTACTCGACATTATTCAATAAGAAACGAATTTTTTTTTTGCTGATCGTGAATATCTTTCTGATGATCATCGAAATTGCTATTGGAATAAAAAAATCAACAAGGAAATTGAAGAGAAATGAAATATTCCATTTACTTTTAGAATGTCTTAGAATATCTAAGTATATATATTTTATTTAAGAATTGTAAGAACTATATTTTTAAAAAGTTAAGAAAAGAAATATATATATATATATAATCAAATTAATATATAAATATATTAATTTGATTGCAAATCCAATGTTATAAATGTTATTTTAAACTAAACTGTAAACATAACTAAATTTAAATAATTTATTCCGTTTAGAATTCAAATTTGCGGTCGGTTAAGTCATTAAATATTTGATACTATTATACTACAATTGTATTATAGTATAAATAATTTTGGAATTTTTTCGGATGTATGAATGCTGATTACGAATGTGAGCATCCATGTATATGCGTTTGTAAAAAAAAGAGAGATGCGTGAATAACTTATTTCGATATAAAATGCGTATTAGTGTGTAAAAACACTGCGATTCAATAGGATAATTTATTTTGCGGATCTTTATTTCATTTCGAGAGAATATTCAGAATTATTTTTTCTTTTTTTGATTAATTCCGACTATAGGCCAATAATTCGGAGAAATCTATCTTTTTATTTCTTTTCTTTTTTTATGTGGAGAAGTTTATTTAAATGCGTAACATTGTAGATGTGTTTTGACTTTGCCAAAAACTTTTTTTTTTATTATCTATTCGAGAAAAACATCTTCTAAATCTTATATAAAAATATTTCCTTATTAATTTCAATTCGAAATTAGCAAAAATGGCAAAAAAGATCTATATTTTAAAAAAATCGCTTTACGATGTATATAGAGAACAAAAATCGACAAAAGACTAGAAACTCTTTCTTATCATTATACATTGAGATGTTATTTTGCATTATACTTGACAAATTTCTTATATTTATCTAATATCTAGTTATATTTTACTCTAGTTATACTCCTTAATATATTTTAATTTTTCTCGCAAACGAAAACTGTTTCAAAACAAGGAGCAGCACTTATATCAATTCTCTTTTTCATTACACTATTAATTACTTTTAATTTGTATTAAAATCGAAATACACTATTAAAAAAGTACTAAACGAAATTACATGAACAAGTGTAAATTTATACTATTTATAATGGATAAATTTTTTTGTTGTTTATGTTATTTTATGTATTATTTTTTATGGTGTATGTGAAGCATAAAATCGAAAATCAATTTGCAATAATTAATGTAAGTGGCAAAGAAAATTTTTCTGCAACTACTTCGAAACGACTTAAGTTCTTTAATTTTGAAAAAATTGAGAAACAAATCACTTTAATCTCTTATTTTTGAACTAATTTTTAGATTTAATTGTATAGAACATAAATCTAAAAAATGAAAAACATCTTACAAATGTTACAGCATTTAAAAAATAGCTCTACTCTTTTTTTATAATATAATTTAAGGAAAAGTTTTTTCATTTTTTCAGTATATAGATGTAGTATTTAAGGCATAATTCATTATATTTCATAGTTTTTCACACAAAATTATTTTTTAAAATTTGATAAACAATTACGGTACTAATATTTATTAAATTTATTAAATAAATGTAAATTAATATCGTAATTATTTATCAAATTTTTATTATATTTATCAAATAAATGTAATAAAAATTAAAAATAAAAGTAAAAATTAAAGTTAATTAAATTTCTTATTTTAATAATTTATTAATAACTGATTAATAAATTATTAAATTATTTAATTTAATAATAAGGATGGATTAAAAATTAAACAAATCTTTTTTATTTCGACATTTTGAATTGTTCGAAATTAGTTCAAAAATAAGTAATTCTATGAAATAAAGACGTGTATAAAATCGTACATATAAGAACAGCATCTAATGTATATCTAATATATATCTAATGGAACGTTATATATATTATAGTCCTCTGAACAGTATAAATTGAATGGAAATGTATTGTTGAACGCTAATAGCGTATAAACACCTTTCTATTATGACGATTGAATAAAAAAATACAGTGAAAGTAAGTCATTTTTACATTTAAATGAAATTCCACTTATTTTTTCTATTATAAGCTTCTATATTCCATTTGCTTTTTGTTTGTGAATAATAAACAAGAAGCGTTTTTCGTGTAAATAGTTTATATATTTTCTTATTGGAGGATGAAAATTGGAAACGGGATACGGAGATTCAAATAATTCAGCCCAAACGAATTTGTCGTACGAAATTCTTTCAGATTTTATTCTATGTTACGAAATTTGTTGAAAATCCTAAGAAAACAGTTCTACATAAGCTTGAAAGTATAACGAGAAGAGCCTAGTTCGACCTAAATTATCTTTTTTTTTTTACAAAGTTTACCTTTCGCGGAAAGCCGCTGTTGGTTTTAATACGAAACATTCGAGAAATATGGACAGGTAATTTTTTTGTTTATTATTTATATATATGTATTGAATAAAACTTCATCGAGATATAGCTAGAATAGAAATACATATATCTAATGCAGTTCTTGTAAAAAAAAACAACAGGTGATTAAAAAATAATAATAAAAAATTGACAAGAATTCATTCTGTGGTGCGACTTCCTGAGGTTCGAAATCAAGCATCGCGCATCGGTTCGAAAATGATTAAGTAAATTCTTTTTTGTTCTTTCTTTAGCTATTCTATAAACGAATTTATAAACAATTGTTTAATAAATACTGAAATGTAGTAAAGTTTATACTGCCTTTTACATACCCAGTCGATTTGACGTTTATAGACTGATCATTTCTGGGTATTTGATTTTACTACTTTATACGCCAAAGAAAGAAAAAAAGTTACTTCGAATCCAATTGTTTGTAAGAAATGCAAAATAATATTAGTAAATAATAAAAATAACTAACAGCATAAATCCAAACATCTTTAACAGATTGCTGATTTCTGAAAGATTAAGAATTCGAACAAGCTGAATTCGCGTCAATTTTTTTTAAATCTATTTTTCGCAGGGATGTATAATAATTCAAGTTTATTAGCTTTTCGATTCTCAATCACATGATGACTTCTTTTTCTGATAAAACGTAAGCCTTCACATACAAAGCTTCATCTTTGCGTCATTAGTGAATTAAAGTTTTTCAAATACATATTCGATGCAATCATTCATTGGATAGTGATTTAATTTGAGAGATTAACAGAATTATAACAATAACACCTAATATCAGGGTTGGATAGTGCTTAGGTATATTTTAGACTTTTAAATTTAACTTCATTTAGTTACATTTTATTGGTATATATTCATTTTTAATTTAACCTTTTTGAAGTTGCATTTTTAATGCTTCTTATGTAAAATCCAAGAAAAAATACAGATTTGCGGTATCGTCAAATTCGAACAAATGAGAACATCAAGTTATTAATATAACAAATATAATCTGGCCAGTGGCCGTGGAAAGGAACCGCTGTTCGTGGGCTTACTATGCATTGAATCATGTTGTAGACGTCTCTCGAAATCAGACTTTTTTCCACGTCTGAAAATAAGTATAATAAATATACACTTTTATTTAGAAACCTTGAGATTATGAAATGAAAAAAATTTAACTTTTAACTTTACAATTATTTCTTTTTTATTAGCTTAACTTTTAATTTTATTAATTTTATTGTGGATTAACTTGCATCTTAACTAAGGTGTATTTTCACAGCTGTTAACTTTAATTTATCTTAGCTTAAAAAAGAATTAACTTACCCAACCCTGAATAATATTAATTATAATAATAATTTACTAAATAATAAATAACGGCAACAAAATTACACTTTAAAGCTATCATAACAATTTATCGTATACTTATCTAATTATATTAATTGTGTACTAAGCGGTCAAGGTGAAAATTAATAATTTATTACAAGAAAACAGTCTTACAGATGGAATTAAACCTTAAATAAATCACTTATTTACGTTATTCTTGTAATAAAAAAACTCAATTATTATTTGAGAATACTAAGAAATACATTTGGAATATTAGTATTAATTAAAAATTAACTGAAAAAATAATCTTTACGTTCTAGTTTTGTGTGTGTGTGTGTGTGTGTGTGTGTATGTGTGTGTGTATCTCTATGAAATAAAAGTAATACAAATTGTCAAAATATTAAAAATCAATAAATATCTGATCACATATAAATTTAAAATTTACTATGTTATGACAAAGAGACAAATCGATCATTTTAGTTTGATGTTAGACAAAGTTTATTCAGTTTGACTATATTATATTTTAAAAATTGGATGACAAGATTATTTATCATCCCGGGTCTTTCATAAATCAATAAAAGCGGAATTCTAAAATCTTCGGTGAATGATACTTGTATAAAAAGCATATTACTTCTCTTTTTTTTCATAGGATCAAGTAAGTTTATATACACGTGTTGTGGGAATGCTTTCCCTTCCAAGAGTTACTCTATGCTGAGACAGTTATTAACGCTATATACAAGCTGTTCCAAATTCACTGCGCATCTCTTTCTCTCATTTTACGAAGAGCATGTAAATATGAACATGTGCAAGAAGAGCAGTTTTTTTAATTGATTTTCGTTTTCACTAATGACACAGTTTGAAAAATTCGAACGTTTCTCCTCGATAAATAAAGATGTCATAAGATTAAAAAGATTAGGAGGGCAGATGACGTTTCTGTCAAATTTTCGTTTGAGGAAAAACTAAAAAGAAATTTTTCAAGAAATATGTCGAATATGTCGTTAAAGGAAAAAACAGTGAACTTGGGATAGTCTGTACAACATATATTTATAAACAATATATAAATCAATTCGGGTACATCTCACAAATAATTTGTTTGGAAGGGACTAAGATATTTTTTCCGATCTGATCGAACGATCGATCGCGTTTTTTAATTGACGCCCTTTACCATTCATGCCCTTAATTGCATACTCGTATCTATTTCAATTTCTCGTATGTATTGCTTAATGTTGATCAGTTCTCCCTTCTTTATGTTGACTAAGGTACGCGAAATTATTCCCGACTGCAGAAAACTGACTTAACTCTTTACACTCGAATAATCGGTACAAGAAGAGTTGAAGGAATATATACGTAAATATGTATAAATATATATATATATATATATATAAATACATTTGAATATATCACAAAATTTTTTTATCCAATCTTGTGATTTATTTATACATATGTACATACGTATCTAATAGTAAAATTATATATAATTGTCATATAAATTATTTTCACGAGACGTTTAATTAGTCACAGAAGAGAAAAGAGTAGCTAATTTTTTTATTAACTAAATTTTATTTTTCAAATTTCTTTATACAAGATCTTCCATCGGGGAAGGATGATGGCGTGTAAAACAGGATTGCCGTGTGCAAAGAGTTAAACCTACAATATTAAACAGTATCTTCAACTGCGACTGCTTTTTTTTTTCTTTCTCTCTCGGAATCGTTCGCTGTATTATTCAATCGATGTTTAACGGTAAAGAGTGTCCGTACGATTGTTATCACACAAGAAAAACGTTCTAGTTGTTGCGCTCGAGACTATAAGCCGTGTCGTTCTTCTGCGTTTTCTCTCTTAGGACTACGGCCCTTCCTGGGGTAGTTCTCCTAATTACGTGTGTAGAAAATCCGAGAGGTGTTCGAGAAATAATACGACGCTTCGCGGGTTTCGGAAGAAAAAGCAAACGATCGCGCTGGAGTGCAAAGTGTGTTCGGAAGAAAAGGTAACAGGACAGAAGAGATCGCCACTTCGTAGCTCTCGGGAACAATCGCACTTCACTCTGTGAGCAGCATGACTGCGGCCGACAATTACGTTTCTCGGCTTCTTCCAAGTTACGCGTATATAATACACGTTATACAATATACTGAACTCAAGGCACGTTAATACCCTCGCTTATCAAAAGAGAAAACATCCGATCTGCCGACAATATTACAGTACATGCGTAATATACGTCAGTCGACAAAAACTGACCACTTGCGTAATATTTCTCTCCAATTCAATTTTTTATCTCTTAAATGCAAATCCTGTTGGATGACTCTGATGCCTTCGATCTCATCTCGTTTCCCGTATTCGTGTCTTTCAGGAAGCATCTTTCTTATAATTTCCCGGAAATTCATAGCAAATACAAATGTTAAATGTCGAATCTATAACGTTGCGTCGTGCTAAAAAATTCGCCTAAAAAGCTTCTTGGCCAAAAAGTTTAAGTAATCAGTACGCTTGCGGTAATTATATTCCGCGATGAGAACTACTTCTCGAACACTCCTCGTAACTCGATGCATCCAGCATGGCCCAAGGCCCAATAGGACTCACGTCGGCGCCGCTTCGATGGCTCGGCTCAAAAAGTGGACAATTTGAAAAATCCGATGTTACAAATTTATTCTTAATCTTCCAACTTGAAAACTGTATCTATTTGCAATTTTATGTCAAAAATACTTATGATACTGTCTGCGTTTCTTCATATAATAGTTGAATGCAGAAAATAAATTGATGAGAAGAAATCACGATATTTATTTCATAAAATCAAGTTTTTTGTTTGTAAAAACATAAACTTATTTTAAAAAATGGATTGAATTTGAATTGGTTCTTATTATCTTTTTTTCTTAATATCTTAGCCGTATACTATTTTTCTTGCACACGATAGAAAAGTAATTGTTCATTTTTTTCTCAAATAAATCATTTCTACAGAATCTAATGTTATATACAAATATTCATCAGAAATTTATTTTAATACGTGCTAATTTTAATATGATAAAAATGTTTTGTATGTGTACGACTAATTGAGGTATTAAATTAATTAAATTTATTAAAAGACATGATAAGAAGAAGAAATGAAAGATGAATAAATATCAAAAATATCTTAAAAAATCTCTAAGGAGAATCGAAATATAAATAAAAAGAAATAGAAGAAAAAACGTAAAAAATGTTTTAAAAAATCTCAAAATTTTAATATCTCAAGAGTTATAAATGTCTGTTAAACTCTTTTAGATTATCTATTTTTTATAATCAATGATCACACACGCAGGGTTGATAAAATTATAATATAGTAAGTGAAGGATTTGTAAAGCGATTTACTGGCATGTGTACGATTATGATACAAAAACTTTTCAGGATTATAAATGAAACCAACCGAAGACTGAAATCTCACGAGTTATCTTCTCGAGCCGGTCTATCGATTTGCAGCTACCAGGAACGAGCCGTCCTGCCCGAAAACAACGGGACGTGCGCTCCAATTCCAGTGCAATATCGGTACAAGATCTATTATCGGTAAGTTTTTCAAATACGAAGTGAAACTATCAGTACGTAATCTCAACTCTCTACGCCACGAGGACATTCATTTCCCGCGCTCATTGCTGCGCTTACACCCGACGTTCGCACCCTCGCACGCCGATCTACGTCAGCGCGGGGATCCACCTCTCGAACGTGACGTTATAATACGGATGAAATAATGCCGATTGATATGAGAGAGATAGAGACGTCAGATAAAAATTTCGTGGGGAAATATCGAGCGTAAAGCCCAGTTTTGGGCCAACACTCCACCAACTTAAAAGGACACGGAGCTCGTGCTAAAAAATCGCGTCTATATCTCCCACGGTGTGTATATGTACCCCCGCGCGATACTATTTATAGAATAAATACACAAAACTTTGCAGGGAGAGTCTTCTTTCGCGAGGGACGATTGCGCTCGTTCACACGCTCTTCTCTAGCGCGCGAACAGTAACACCGTCGTCAACGTCTCTCCCTCGTCCACCCTGTCACCTTGACGTTCTCCTAAAGGAAAGACACTATTATTAGATTCCTATTTGTTCCTAACTGTTCCACTGATTCTATCGATCGTCGTTCCTCCGATAACTCGAAGGCGATCTCTTGCCTCAACACATTCTCGAAGCACCATCCGAAGGATTAACTTCACGTTCCACCGTCCTCCACTCACATTTCTTCGCTCTGAACTGGTTTGTCTCCGACGTTCCCCAAAACATTTTCACGCTAGAAATAATGGACTATTCCCCCGTCGTCTCTCGTCGTTAATTATGCAGCGACGAGACAATTTTCACCGTCACGATAGCGATTTCTACATCATTTTTCTATAGTTCCTTTAATCTCGAAATCAAAGAACTTTCGTTAATTTCTTGTTTGAAGTCCCGTCTTGCTGTATCGCTCCTTCGATATTTCTTCTTTGATAAAGCTGCAAGACGATTTGTCACTTAACGCTCCTTCGAAATTTCATACTAGGCTAGTAGCTATAACTTGTGTGTGTGTGTGTGTGTGTGTTTTGTTTGTGTATGTGTGTATGTTCCCCCATAGCTCCTTCGTCCCATTCTGCCAGTTGGAGCTACAAAGCGACTAGTTTTACTTTAAACGTCTTTAACACTCCCTCAAATCTAGGCTTTGGTATACAGCTATCTATCTGTCCACCATTTTCTGTTCGCCCCCTAGTTTTCTGTCGAACGTATAACGGTGAGACAATTGATTGACTATCCCTCCATCGCTTTACGTTTTCTTCATTCTTGCTTTAACAATCTAGAATTTATAACTCTTTTTTAAACGCAACACGCCGATCCCGTCTAATTGTTTCCTCAATTGTTCTATAATTTCCTAATTGCTTTTCCAATACTTTGGAACAATTAAATATAATCCTTCGTCTCTCTTCGTCTTAAATGCTACGGACTCTTGGATAATTATTCCTCGTTTCTCATTATATTCCTTTCTCATTTATCATTTCCTTGTCAAGCCGTTCTCCCGAACTGGCTTGTCACACCTTAATGCAACACTCCAAAATAAAATTAAAATTATTCATAATCTCCTCTTCTCCCGTCTTCATTCCGTCTGTTCGTTTCTTCATTGTCCCTCCAAGGATTTGAAGGCACACGACGATGTCTCTTTTTGATATTCCTTCGTAACGTACAACACTAGAATAGTTAGATAACCATTATGTTCGCCGTTCCATTATCCGCGACGCCTTGCAATAAGAAGATGACACGTTTCATCACATTGTCATTGACGCAATCACATAATTCGTTAGCGAGAACGAGAATTGAAATTGCGAGCGAGTAATTGAAAACATCTGTCATGTTCGAGCACTTTTTTTTTTCTTCACGTGTTCGTTCGTGGACGAACAGCTCTTCCGCGCGCACTAATCGCGAGTTTATCACTGATTATCACGTAACGACGGCACAACGTCATTTCAGGGAAGTGCCCTAGTGCGAGAACTTGAGAAACACCTGTTCCAAAGTAGTTTGACTAAAGCTGTACTCTTCTATGTCCAGTTCGAGTTTGGCTGCAAGTAGAAATTTTCAAAGAATTAGCAAAGTTTCAATTTTCCAACTTTCATTTATTTTGTGCTTAATAAAATTTTCAACTTAATGATCCTGGAAATTAGAAATTGTTCCATTACAGTTGAGAATTAAGACGCGATGTTTGAAATTGATGCAAATTTTATATTGAAAATATCCAACTCAAAGTATAGGCGTAAAAATCAACAAAATTACATTTTTTTAATTTTCTTGTCTTTTAATTCTAATGTTCTCTTATGTCCCTTGTACGTTTTTAAAAACAAAAAAATATTCTTAGATTTTTGTATTCTTTGGATCCACAACGAAGCCGCTTATTAAACTATTCCAAACAAATTCTTCAATCTATTCGAGCCTTTTTCTCACCTTTCTCCAATTGTATAAAGCACTCAGCCAGCGAAGTTACGGCATGTTGGGGCACGGCAAAGACTAGCCGGTCAGCGAAGCTCTCCTCCAAAGTGGCATCGGGGAAGAGGCCGGCGACGAATTCTTTTAAGCCGGTAATCCTGTCGCCGGAGGGTGTCGTCGGCGTGCAGTCGCCGCCCTGAAGCTTCATCTCCAGGGTGTAGCCAGCACCGTAGAGATTCTTTAGATGCTGAGTCGAACCGATGCATCTCAGCTCACCCTTCACCATTATGCCAACTCTTGAACACAACGCGTCGGCTTCCTCCATGGAGTGGGTAGTCAATATAACTCCCCTGCCACCCTAAATTAAAGAGGTTTTCTTTAGACTTTAGAAGACAAGTTTTTAATAAGTTTTTAATTTTTATATACTCAAATCGAATCTTTTTTAATCTTTTAATATTAATATTTAACTGCTGTATATTCTGTATTTGCATATTCTGTAAATTCTGTATGTTGTAATCATTATTTTATTATTCATTTGTATTGGTTTTATACTACTCCTTTAATTTTCATCTAAATTAAGTTTTCCATCTGGAATAGGAATCTTTTAAAAAATATATTATTGGAAAAATGTATTGGATAAAATTAAGAAGAATAATTTTAATTATTTCATACCTGGAAACTAGCGAGAATCGTGTCCCATAAGAACCTCTTTGACCTGGGATCCATGCCCGTACTCGGTTCGTCCATGAGAATCATCTTGGGCCCACTAACCATTGCCATTGCAAAGCTAAGTTTTCTTCTAGTTCCGCCGGAACATTCTTGGCTCTGCTTATCGGCATGTTCATGAATCTGCAGACCGGACAAATACAGATCCACGATTCTGCAACAGTCAATAATGAATTTGATAGTTATATTTACGAGATACCAAGAAAAAAATGTTCACAACAATCAAAACAGTAGATATTAATTCTATCAATTATATCCTATCTAATAAAAGGCATGTTAAGTCGATAACTCGCATTTCTCGAAATTATCTGTTGCCGCTTTTCCGTAATGCTGATTGATTATCTCACTATGCTTACTTCGTTGAGCGGCTGTCATTCTGTCTACAGTTATACACATCTCTGAG